CTACGTATGTGTATTAAAATGCCTCTTAAATTAGCTTTATTCTCCATCGTTCCTTGGTGCATAATGTAACAGTTCTCTCTGTTAAATGTGAAATTAATTGGAACATAAAGAACATAATATACACAATTAGGATGCACATCTCATTTGACTTTACAGAGTCTTAACAGCCCAGCTTAACTTAGCAACGACCTTGCACACTCATGGCCATTCTCCAACACCTCTAACCTACACAGGCTGCACTCATAAATACTGATGTGACAAGTAGGAAGACTCATAGTCACACATGCATGCACAAGCAGCATCCATAGTCATCCACATAATCAACTCTCTCTCTCTGCCTCTCTCTCTCTCTGTCTCTCTCTCTGTCTCTCTCTCACACACACACTCATGCGCACACACATGCACGGACTGGCCTTAGGAGAAAAAGACGTCCACTTTGAAATGAAAATAAATAAATCATATCGGCCTGATTGAAGCGCCGCTCCGCTCACAGCTACAAACATAGCATTACTGTGACAACATTGTCCCTCTTGGGCTCACGAGTCTATTTGCAGAAGAGTATTAAATTGAACTCAGTCATCCAAAAAGCCCGGTGCTCCCAAAACAAAATGCCTTCCCCTCGCCACTCTTTCCTTTCCTTCTCTCCTCCTGTGCAGCTGACTTCAGCTAGGCAGAAATTCACTATTAGGACCGCCTTTTCTTTCTTTCTTTCCTTCCCTGTTTTTATCTCTGCCAGCCATCAGTTAAAAGGCAGTTAAACACAAATAGAGCGTTTAGTTTGGGGTTTATGCAGCAAGAAACAAGTCATAATCTGAATTTTATCAAGCCCATAAAGTGTGTTCCAGAAGCAAAATGGGACATGCTTGAGCCACCATAAAACAGTCCGTGCTGGCCGGAGTAACAAATCATACCTTCGTTCCTTTGCTGCACACTTTATTACGACTCCCATATTATTATACACGACAATGCAAGAGGGAAAGAATTTTCAAAGGACAGAAATAAATCCACCATTTATGCTTACATATACTGTTATAAAACTTACTTCTATTCCTCAGTAGACAAGCTTTTTGTTCGGCGTCACATTTAGCTCGGGAGCTGCTCAGATATTATACCGCTCCCTATAACCTCACCGTCTCTCACTCTCGCTCTCTCTCTCTCTCTCTCTCTCTCTCTCTCTCTCTCTCTCTCTTTGTCATTGTCTCGAGCTAAAAACTGCCACAGTAGGAACACTACACAGTTTTAGCTCAAGGACAACATTCTTTCAGTGGCAGATATTAAAGCTGATACATAGAACAAGCTTTTCTCTGAATTATGAGTAAAAGCACCGAGGATGTTGCATCCCCACTTCCCCCAAGGCAAACACAAATCTCTTCTGTCAGTGTCTAGCAACCAGTGCATTGCTACACTTTGTGTATGTTTAAGCTTGAATAAATCATCGCACATGCACAGTTCATTCTGTCTTTCTAGCGTCCTGTCTTTGGCTCATCCTTTTCACTTCCAAGGGTGGCCAGGGTCGTATGGCACAAAGGAATTCTCTGATGCTCGCCATAAAATCTGGCTTCTTGCAAGGCCCACAGCATGCCAAATCAGCTCGTTTATGGAGGATTTTGTAATCAACAGCCTGATCCAGCATATGCGGTTAACCCCCTGCCTCCCTGAGTAGTGTGAGAAGAGGAAATAGACTGCCTTTTTTTCTTTCTGGCATATTAGCCTTCTTTGAATGTGACAGTCAAGGGAGTGAGGTGGGCAACGCCTGTCCTCTTAACAGGATTACACTGTGAACAGAGCCACAGGATATGCGCACATAGAGAGCGGAGAGACTCTACGCTTTACACTAGTGTATACAGTCAAGACACCACACTGGACTCTGTGTGTGTGTGTGTGTGTGTGTGTGTGTATGTGTGTGAGACTGAGATGCTGTCATGCACTCACACACATACATACGAGTGTATGTTATCTCAGTTACCCCCAGGGAAGCAGCTCTCTTCAGAAGTGTGTGAAGCATAAAGATTCTGTTGGAAGGTCTGATTCCTTTCTGCAGGGCAGAACTGGGACAGTTAATGAGGGTGAAATTGCTGTGCCACTACTACACTACTGCCCCTTGCTAAGCTTTCTGAAGATTGCACCATTGTAGGCCAGTTATGTCCGTCCACTGAGTCTAACATCACAGCGCCGTCTCTTCAAAGCAGGATAAAGATGTTTAAAGTGTGAACTCACAGACAGAGATATGGTGACCCATGCAGGATAAAACACTTTTGGATGTCATGGCTGGCCAGTCATGCTCAGCTCAGTGTGTTTGTTTCCTTAGAGTGCTTTCACACCTATTAGTCAGCAGGTCAAGGCTGTGGGCTATTGATAAGATGATTATGAGGCAAATCCAGGCACTATCCCGCTGCCATTGGACCCCTGAGCATGACCCTTAACCATGACCTGCTCAGCTCAATTGTAAGTGGCTTTGGACAAAAGCGTCTGCCAACTGTGTAAATGTCAAATGTAAATGTATTAGTCAGTTTGCCGACTCTGAATCAGACTGAAATTGGTATTTTTGTTTTGTTTGCTGTTTGGTTCGGTTTCACGTTATGCATAAGGAAATGACCCAAAAAAGCATTAGCTGAGGGGCATGTAGACGGGGACAGGGCTGAGAACATAATCATAAAATGTTTGCAGAATGTACTTATTAGTTGATAAAAAGGTAAACAAACCTTAAGTAAGCGCACACTGAAATCATGGAAGCGACCCGAGCACAGAGAACACGGACCCAGTGCTAAATAAATAGTGAAATAATAACAAAAATGCCCGGTTTAAAACATTTTGTGTACTGTATTTAATTTCTTTTCACATGCACACTTCTTTCTTTAGCTGTTGGTAAGCACACACTGTATTTGTCCGGCACTTCAGTTCTGTCTCCCAGCTCATATTTGGTTCAGTTTCTGCATTTGGAACGATTCAGGGTCAAATCTCTTAGTGGAACTATGCTAGAGATAGCTTAAAAGCAGACTTAGTTCAGTTCAGATGGTCTCAGATCTGTTGTTTTGGTTCATACCCAAGTGCCAATGCTGTGCGCTTACTTGCCTGAAAGAATTGCACTGAGAAGGTAAATGCACCAGGGTTCAAGTTAAACAAAGTAAACTCTGCACATGAGAACGCACTGTTAGCCTCATCTTTAGATGATCAGTACGATGTGTATTTTATACGTATAATACTACAATTATAAGAATATTGCCCATTACAATCACATTGGCTATCCAGGCCTGTATGTTTACACACTTGCCTGCAGCAGAACAATTGAACATTGTGACAGAAACTATTCTGAGCAATATATATAGTCACCTGAGGCTCACAGCAGCTTGTCCCAAGCTCAGATTTTCTGTAGGTATGGTGTATAAGACTACAGTCAACCACACGGTTTCCAGGTTGCTGCATGCAAGTCTGATCCATGGTCATCCATTTGCAATAAAGTTCAAAGCAGACAACTCTTGATCATGTTGAGTGATGAACACTACCAGACTTTCTACTGATACCTAGTCTATTGTTGTCTAGACTTTGGAGAGAGCACATGCAGCACATTTTCTATTAGGTTTGGTGTGAATCTTTAATCTACTCTTCCTCTGTGCAAGCTATTCCAGCTTCTGAAAAAGCAGTCTTTAACTCTGTATAGCAGATGAAATAAAATGGCTGAAGTGAGATTTAGTCATGGTAGATGTAGTCTGATATGGAGATACTTAGAATTACTTTCTCATTTGCTTTTTTATCCACAATGTTTGCCTCCCGGGGTGCTTCATGGCCAAGAACTAATATAAGATTCACGTATCCGTGTCCTCCAGCATTGCAGTGACGTGCTGCTTTTACATCCTGAACAATTAATGTCCACTAAATCGAGACTACAATGCAGGAGTCCCACTGGGTCGTGTAGGCTCAGTTCTCCTGGGGTATTCTGAGTGAGATTACAGAACGTGACTAGTCTCAGATCAGTGAACAGTCACGGCCTAAGAACTGTAGTTGAATTGCTTTTACTTTTGCATGCCCGCCCACTAATGGTTTATTGATTGTGTATGTAGTGGACTGTTGAGTGCACATGTCCCTCTCTCTACTTCTATCTCTTACTCTTTCTCCATCTGCCTGTCCTCTCTGGAGAAGGGCCAGGACTGAGGGACTGGTGCACTCAGGGGTTTTAACAGCACAGAAGGCTGCACGCCACCTAGAGCCAAGGTCATGCTGTGATGCCATATTGTATTTTATGAGAAGACGGGCAGCAATAAGTACTGATACGGTCTCATGGATGATTTATCGCCTCTGGTGATAGCATGCAGATCTGATTCAAGCAGGTCTCCAGAATCTTTTTTTTTGGGCCTTTAGTGATACACATATCATGCATAAGCTAGCACAGATGACAGGTGTTTTATAAACCCAATCAGTGAGTGAAGGTAACTGACCTAAGCTTTAGGCATAAAGGCAGTTATGGAACCCAGCAATCTGTTGCTTATTACTGCATAAAATTGTATAAAAACAATTCTGTCTCTTGTATTAGATCTGTATTAAGTAATTAGCTTTATTCTCTTTTTCCTTTCCATACAGGTGACCCCAGTAGCTGGGCCTCCAGAAGGGGGCACCAGGGTGACTATTCGTGGGGTGAATCTGGGTCTGTCTTTCTCCGAAATGGAAGATAACGTGCAGGTGGCAGGAGTACGGTGTACCCCAAAAGAGAATGGCTACATCATTGCAGAACAGTGAGTCCTTAAATAACCATGAAACCAAACCTGAATCCACAATGATCTGATCATCATTTAAACAAGGTTATTTTCAGAATGTCTGTGTCGCTGTTTTTTTTTTTCGGCTGCTCCCGTTAGGGGACACCACAGCGGATCATTGGTCCGCATAAATGATTTGGCACAATTTTTACGCCGGATGCCCTTCCTGACGCAACCCTCCCCAATTTTTATCCAGGCTCGGGACCGGCACTGGGAGTGCTCTGTCGTGTGCAACCCTAGTGGCTGGGTTGGTTCCCCGGCAGGGAATCGAACCTGGGCCGCGTCGGTGAACGCGCCAAGGCGTAACCACTAGTCCTCCAGGGACCCACTATTTTCAGACTGTCAATAATTCTTTTAAATTAAACTGTGTCACGTTTGGAACAAAAATCTAGTTTAGCTCATCTTTGATCTGTCTCAAAATAGAATGCACTGGAAAAACACAATGTCCTACATAAACTCCCCCTGCAGAACAGAAAAAAGAATCTGTTACAAATAGAACACTCTTGCTAACACACTGGAAGACAACATAGTTTATAGACTAGTCAGAGTCAAAAGCAGCCAATTAGAGCTGTCATAGCAGTAAGACGTGCTAGCCACTCCATAAGGGGTGTTCAGGGGGTTCTGCTTTGCTCTGCTGAACCTGCTGGCAGTTTTCCTCACAAAGGAACATCTTCACAAAGGCAGTGCAAACAACTCATGATGGACAGCTATCCTGAAGATTACGTTCACAGCCATCTCCAACAGGGAAAAAAAAAAAAAGGCTAATTAGAGCAGTGGCAGACCTGGCTAGTCTCCTTCCGCTGGGAGATTGCTACCCACCCTACCTCCCACTCCCTCACTCCTCAATAATCACTCAGCATCTGTTTGTGTTTACTTGTTTGCTGAATGGCTGGTTAACCTAGCTTTTACAGGCTTCTGCAAATATCTCCAAGCCAGCACCTTGTAGGTCAACAAGAGCCCCTATTGAATACAGAAATACGGAAAGTTGTTCATAGGTTATCATTGATTATTTAGATTATTTATAAACTAAAAATATATTAAACTCCAAAAAATTATTTATGCTTATTTCTTTCCAGCAATTCAATCAACTAATGCTACTACACTCACCATCCACTTTAATAGGAACACATGTACACCTGCTATTTATGCAGTTATCTGCAGCCAATCGTGTGGCAGCAGCACAAAGCATAAAATTATGCAGATGCAGATCAGGAGCTTCAGTTAATGCTCACATTAAACATCAGAATGGGGAAAAAGTGTCATTTCTGTGACTTGAACCGTGGCATGGTTGTTGGTGCCAGATGGTTTGTGTATTTCAGAAACTGCTGATCTGGGATTTTCACACACAACCGTCAGAGTTTACACAGAATGGTGCGAAAGGCAAAAACGTCCTGTTTGCGGAGGGTCTACAAGCTGAAACACCTTGTTGATGAGAGAGATCAGAGGAGATGAGAGAGATCAGAGACTGGTTTGAGCTGACAGGAAGTCTATAGTAAGTCAAATAAGCACTCTTAACAACTGTGGTGAGCAGAAAAGCATCTCTGAGGCTATCATGGGCACAGACTCACCCTGTCTGGAAAAAGGTCATTTTCACCAGGTTTTTTTTTTTTTTTTCTAATCTTCAACTGTCTGGAGTCTGGGCCAATGATAGACTCAGATTCCTGTTCTTGGCTGACAGGAGTGGAACCCAATGTGGTCTTCTGCTGTTGTAGCCCATCCCCCTAAAGGTTTGATGTTTTGTGCATGCTGAGATGCTTTTCTGCTCACCACAGTTGTAAAGAGTGATTATTTGAGTTGCGATATCTTTTCTGGCATCTTGAGCCAATCTGGTCATTTTCCTCTGACCTCTCTTATCAACAAGGTGTTTCCACCCACAGCACTGTTGCTCGCTCAATGTTTTTTGTATTTTTGCACCATGGTGTGTAAAGTCTAGAGACTGTTGTGTGTGAAAATCCCAGAAAATCCCAGCAGTTTCTGAAATATACAAACCAGCCCATCTGGCACCAACAACCAAAAGTGTAAAGTCACAGAGATCATCCTTGCACCCCCCCCCACCATTCTGATGTTTGATGCGAACATTAACTGAAGCTCTTGACCTGTATCGGCATGATTTTATGCATTGTGCTGCTGCCACATGATTGGCTGATTGGATAATTGCATAAATGAACAGGTGTACATGTGTTCCTATTAAAGTGGACAGTTAGTGTATAGAACCAGGTTTAATTAATTAACAAGTCACTACCTATAGCACAATATCACTGACATTTATCAAACAGTCTGTCATGGACTCATAATAAAAATATTATCCAGTGCATATATGACGAACACTTTTTTAAATTAAGGTCATGGTATTCAGTACATTGTACTGGTTCACTGGTCTCAGTCACTGGTCTTACCTGCATTTCAAGCCCTGATTTGTTCAATTACAACGAGTCAGATTAAAAATAAAGGCCATTAACCACTGGCTGTCTCCATAACTGAAGCACTGGGATGCTAAATTTATTTTTGTTTGGCATGTGTGCCATTTTGCATAGTCTAATTATTCCTCATATTAAAACGCAAGTTACTGTATGGTGCTATGATGAGTGTAAAGTAAAGTGTTCCCACATTTTGGAGGACGACGGTTGTACTGTTTTCTTTGTTGTAAAGGCATTCTCTGTCGTTTTAATCAAATATGCCTTTAATCTAAGTGAAGTGACGTAGTGCATGCCACAGCATGCTTCATAACATAACATAGACCAACTAATCAATATGTGACCTCTGGGGCTCCCGAGTGTCATAACAGAAAAGCATTTGCCCTATCATCCGGAGGTCGCGTGCTTGAATCCCGGCAATGCCCCAGCCATCTGTGTCTGGGAGAGCAAATCTATCAATCACAGCAACGCTAGCCAATAGTGGGCTTCTTTAAGCTCATGCTGCATGATATGGTAGGTGAGATATAACTGGTGGGTATCGGCCAAGACTAAAGTGATAGAGAAATTTGTTGCCAACTATATTTATTATCTTATTTTATTGCTTAGCTGTTCTAGCACTAGTCCCTATCAAATAAACAGATCTGTATTCTACACTTTGGATCAGCCCCCATTCTTTTTGAGCCATCACTTTTGCATAGTCTCTTTGATTCAAACTGGACACGAAATTAATAAAGGGCGTAAAACGCTGTGTAATCAGGCAAAGGCTTCTGGTGCTAATAAGGTAGGCTATTAATTAGTGAATACTGAGTATATACACACCACCCTCCGCTTGAGTCTACACCTTAATGTCATGGGTACTGCAGTCTTATTTACACGTTCTGAAGCGTGATCACACATGGCCATTTGTAGAAAGATGCTCATGCTGAATGTACAACATAGCTGCTACAACATGCCATGGCCTTTTAAGGTTGAGTGAATTACAGGATTCTGTGAACTTTACAATTGACAGTGTTTTTATACCATGACCTTATTTCAGAGCAAATCTTTAGAGATGTAGAAGGTTAGCCTTGACTCCAAGCCTGGGATACAGCACACTGGGTGCAGAATTCTCTCTTGCCCTGTGTGTGTTGTTTTTTTTTTTCTTTTTTTCGAGGATCTATAAATAGTTCCTGTCTGTGTGTCCATCCTGGTTTCGTTTCCCGTGCAGCATGTCGCAGGGGCAGAAGCAAGCCAGGGCAGCTGTAATTGAAATGCGTGACGTGCAAGGGAGGAGATTTGTCAGTCCTCCTCGCCTCTGACAGCAGTTTAATCCAAGCAGGATAGAGCTGGGGTGAATTCATTTGTATGGAGCTGTGGAGGAGTGTCAGGAGGAAATGAGGAAAGGGGATACACAAGATACTAGAGCCTACGAAGCAGAATTTCTCCGCTGTGTAGCCTCTAGAGCCATTACGTCACCCCCAAGTACCATCAGCTACAGTCATTTATCTTAGGCTGGCACAGAGTTAACGCTGCTGCTTAGAGCTACTTTCAGAATGTAATAGAAGGTGGTTTTGTATGCAGTCGCATTACACCTATGTATGTATGTCCTAAAACTGTAGACTAACACCAGCACACATGCCATACGCACTAAGCAAGCATGATTGCATTGCAATCTTTACTACTCTCCACAAGTGCCAATCGATGAGTGGCACATTTTTATTATGTCATTTGATCTGGCCACCTTCCTGCACGGGTGACATCAGATCAGAGCGTATGATAAAACAGTATTGATCTGCTGCAGCTACTCACTGTGATTTACACAGGCCTTCAGCTCTCTGTTAGGGGCCTTATTTATGCCACAGCAGGGTGCAAACATTATGAGGATGTGGCAGACTTCTGCTTTGGATGCCCATGCAGGGGCCAATACCTCTTGATTGACCATCTGTGGCATAGTGATTGAGCACTGAATGGCACAAATACAGTAGTATTGACAGGAAATCACCTTAGAAGGCTGGACTTGTAACTGCCACAATGATTATACAGAGATGCCAACATTTATGATTTGTGATACACTTTTCTTCATTTTCAGCTAAAGCACCACTCAGACCAGTTGTGAATAAAATTCACCTGGCAGAAAAGCTAATTCACTGAAAGGGAAGAGGGTGCGTGATGTGAAAGGGGCATGTGCTTCTTGTAGCAGTTGATTTTGCTTCTCAACAGCTTTATCTAGGTGAACTTTTAACCTGTAAATTCACAAACCTCAGGCTTGTGAGTCTATAGAAAGCAAGTGAGTGGGACTGTGGTCTTTCTGTGCTCTCTTCTAGAGTAATTATTAAATAGCGCCAGGCTTTTGCTTCACTTTTTCTGGGAAAAAAAAAAAAATCTAGCTAACATTATCCAAAATCACATTATCATTCGCCTGAATCACCAGCATATAAAATAGCCTTGGAAATAGCGTTGTGAAAATGAACACGAAATGGACCCCAGACTGAATAAACACTTTTGTTCATTTTTTTAACAAGTGTATAAAGTAATATACACTCAGCTGCTTTGCTTATTAAACCTTTCTGTAGAATGTAGTTAAATGCAAGTTCAGCCGATATGTTTCACTATTTATGCTATCATGAAGTTGTCCCATTGACGGATAGGAGTTTGCCTGCTAGGATTTTCATGTTGGCAATGTTGACACCTGTGCATTATAGATACGTGTCCTACAGAAAACAATCCTAAATACAGCGCTCTAATTGCTGTGAATTTGATGTGCATTTTCAGGATAGTGTGTGAGATGGATGCAGCTCCAGAAGACACCAAGTCCGGTCCTGTGCAGCTATGCGTGGGAGAGTGTAAGCCCGAGCTGCAGGCTCGCTCTTCCCAGCTCTACTCTTTTGTGGTAAGGATTCAAATCCCAGCATGCCTCTGCATTATGCAAGA